AATCCGAGTGGGGAACCCCCCCTGAGTCTTTAGTCTAGGGGGCTTAAGAGCTGTGTCTCCTATCCTGCCAGTGGGGTGTCCTGAGGAAGTATGTCACAATTGGCCTGAGGTATGGGGGCAGAAAATAATTCTGGAAGAATCCTAAAATTAACCCAGGCATGAGGTCCTTGCAGTTTTTGCCTCAGGCAAGGAATTAGGGTGTGTGTTTCCTACTCAAGGAGGAACCACCCAGAACCTTTCTGGCTGCTTTGTTCAAGACCTTGCTTGAGTCCTGAGGGTATGGTCTGGAAAGGGCAACCTATTTGTGCCTATAGGCGGGGGTCTGATTTCTGCGCTCACTCAGGCCTAGAAAATGTCCAGCTCTAGTCGGGAACCCTGTATCAGGATAAATCATTCTCTGTTAGGCGACTTTTTATATAACTGATGTTTCCAGTTACTAAAAAAGAATGTTATTCAGTCAACAAGGTATATGACTGATCATCAAGGGTAAACACAATTCTGATCTAACAAAGTCTTTGAATTTGTGTTAATAAATTATTTGAAACTCCTTTTCTCTATTATGACACTTTTTTTTTGTAGAAGAGAATGTTATGAAGAATATTTACTATCTCACAGTGTAGAATGAATTTTCTTTTATTGTTTTTTGTTTTTGTTCTGTCTTTTTGAGACCGAGTTTTATTTTGTTGCCCAGGTTAGAGTGCTGGGCCTCAGCCTAGCTCACAGCAACCTCAAAACTCCTGGGCTCAAGCGATCCTCTCACTTCAGGCTCCTGAGTAGACAGGACTACAGGTGCCCACTGCCACAACTGTGGCTGTAGTGTATCCTGTAGTTAATACTTTACTATTGTATCTGTTTAATAATAGTTATTCCCAATGACTTCTAAATTTCTTTTGCTTTTTAGATAATTCCTTTTCTTCTTCAGATGCCATACTGTGTAAATTCTAGGAGCTTAGGCATGTATTCGTAGGTTAGATACTTAAACTGCATTGTAAAAGGAGAACCTGACCACATCTTATTTTGCTTTTTTTTTTCCTTTCCTGGCGGTTTGCTACTTAGAGTTATTCTTCATAGGATTTATCTTCATGGGATTCTTCTTTTATATACTGATCACAAGACTGACACTCTTGAAGTATGACGGTAAGTGAAAATTACATAGTTTAACTAGATGTTAAAAAGGAAGATACTTCCTTCCACCTTCCCTTCTATTTTGACCTGTATTGTGTTTGACGTCCTATTGGGTGTGTAAAATAATGGCCCCCCCCCATATTCTAAACATCTTTTCTAAACGAGTCATTTAGACCTTTTATTCTGGGTTTTTAGTCTGCATGGTGAATTCCTTGCTCCTTAGGAAAATGAAGGGTCTTGTTGCTCACAAACCTGTATTCTGGCTGTGAAGGTACAAGGTGTAGAACAATGAAAATATTACAATTTTCTTTACCAACAACTCCCCCTTACCTTGTCATGCTTATCAGGAAGCTTGTCACCTTTTTTTCCTCGGTCCCAATTTATCGAGAAGTCAAGGCTGGCTCTGTGAAGTTTAGCTCCTGGGCTGGTTTCCACGTGTCAGCCCAGCCCCCTCTTTGCAGCACGCTGGCTGC